ATATATATATATATATATACTTTGTTTAAGAGATTTATTATCTTTCGCGCATAGGAAGTGGTATAAAGCGGACAAAGTGGAGATGTATCCTGTATTGTACAATATTATACGTAAATAGGGCACGTTCTACGTAAGTACAGGCTATAAAATTAAGCGGGAAATAATCTCGAAACATGTCCATTTTGCTCACTATGCCGCCTCTATGTGTGAAAATTGCAAATTTCTCGTTGAACAAACTATAGTTGTCTTTTATCAATTCATATTAATACGAATTAATTTTAATTATCCTATCATAAAATGAAAAAATTACATTTTAAATTTACAATGTTAATGAATTTAACGTTGGAATGAGTGCATCAGGCACTAAACATTACCTTTTATTTAATTGTGCAATTGAAAACAGACTCTTGTTTTTATCCTCTTCGTGAATACTGTTTACCACATATCCTATGCTGATATACTTGTCAAGACATTACCATTCTGATATAGATGAAAAACTGCCACTTTCTTGAATAGTAAACGCTGGATTTGTTCTGTAATATATTTAATATTTAAGATATTTCAAAATGTTGCTCGCATTTTGAAATAGATCTAACAATAAATCGAATCGAGGCAACGGCTGAATTTCGATGTAGCATTCTTACCTTTGTTATGACAAGTCAGCCTTGAATGAATTCATTTTCAGGCTTTCGTTTGTTAGAAATGTGCATGCAATGAAAATAGTTTTGGTTAATTGTGCTCGTCATATATAAATTTATTTTTAGAAACAAGAAGCAAATAAAGAAACAAAAAGGATTGATAGTGGAAGGATAGGAGCATCAACATTACGTAATATATCCTTTAACAACGGCGAAGCTTTATGGTAAAAGCATCATTATTTATTATAAAAATATATCTTTCAGTAATCATACACGTACCATGGCTTTATGCTGACATCACGAGAGAGATGATATAAGCACCTTTCCAATGCAACATTGTTTTCATGTGTTTGTGTAATAATAGATCGTATATTCTTTCACACATTCAATTGCATTACTCCATAATTGCAACTAAGCGTTTAACGAGGTTTCCGATGTATTGTGAAAACTATGAATGAATAGAACTTTGTCTGTATCATGAGCATGTACAAAAGTAGTCTATGATATTTTTTGTAATGTACAGTTCTTTCTATTTAAAGATCATTTATACAGATTTGACACACAATAATTTGACACATTAAATAATAATCATAGAATAAATTAACGAATGAATTAAAAGATAAATAAGCTATTCAAGAGAATGTTTACGAATATATTGTACATAGTGTAACATAAAAATAAAAATATTAATATTGTATGCTTTTAAAGTACATGCATTGATTAGAACTAATTTTTTAACAAAAATAGTTAATAAACATAATTAATTAGAATAATAATCAATATATAATTTCTAATAGAAGTCTCGAAAAAATAATACGACAAAAATATCTTATAGTAGAAGCACTTGACACAAGTCATAATTTATTTGTCTAGTTAGACGCGTGTGAGTATTCAAATGCGTTCTATTATTAGTAAATAACAGGAAGCCAATTATCTTTTTACAGATGAGATGCAGAAAGTATGAGTCACGAGTCGAATTACTCTTTAGCAACCATTTATCTTAATTGAGCACAAAAAATTACATCGTAAAGCAAGTTTTGCATTCTCAATCATTTTTCCGTTTTCACCATATTTTTTTCTTCAATTGCAAATCTCGGAAACATACGATCATCTGCTACAATAACGACACGATGCAAAAATTGTACTTTTATCTTCTACATATTTTTAGTTTTTCTGTTATTACACCAAAATTGTAAGGAGAGGAATGAAATAGAAATTAAGAATTTAAGAAAGTGTAAAATTTTGGAAGTTTTTTGTAATCACTTATGTGAAGGCAAATAAATAAATACTATTACACCAAAATTGCATCTTAAAATTATTATTACAAAATTCTAATCACTAATGATTCAACATATTCAAACTTATTTTCTGCATTGTTTTTCAAGATATGTCGTTGTTATAAGAAATGAACATAAATATATTTAAGCAGTCCATAAATGCATTTAATTTATCTTTTAAACTTTAAACACTTTTGTTTTAACTAAAAAAGCGAGGTGAGATATACTTCATTTATCTGTTATAATGCGCTTGGTATATGATTGCATTTTCGTCACAACAAATTTAACGTGGACGCCACAATACATAAATGCATTTTATTCGCAATTTGCAGAATACATTTCAAGCTTCATAAAAAATTTTTATTATACAATTCATATGAAAGCATACAACACAAAAGGAGGCATGTACAAAACCACAAACCAAATACTTTTACGTATAAGATTAATCTTGATTGTATCAGATATTTTGCATATAATAATCCATGCAAAAGTATAAATCTAGCTTTTTTATGTTAAATGTTAAAACATTTCGCCACAAAGATAGATTAATACTTGGCGAAATTATGTATTTACTGGATTTAGTCACAATTGTGATAAAAATGATTGTAGCCAAAATTCTTACCTGGCATAAACTGCAGGATTTGATATTCCAAGTGTCGGACTTACGGGTGTACCGATATATTTGGTAACCAACTAAAATGAAAAAATAATAAATTAAATAATAGCTTAACGATTATGTTTTATAAAAAATAAAACGTATTATATTATTACCAATATTTAATTATCAAAATAAATATCAAATTATTGAGAAAAATTATTGCTAAGATAATGTAGAGTCCAAACAAATAGCATTCACTCGCAATAAAAACAAACAAAAGTATACATACCCAGTTATTACCGAGGGAAGTAGCACCCATGCTCACAGCCATGTGGATAGCCAAGTAAGCGCAGAAAATAAGATACAAAATCGCATATATACACATAACTAAATATATAGCCCAATGATGAGGCAGGTCTTCTTGAACAGTTTGTATCACGAAGTATATATTTATCGTTATTACTAGGACCGACAAAGCAGTTGCCACGATTTTATTCACTCTGCAATACAGATAATACAATGCGGATGTAAAAAAGGAAGACAACTTTCAACATGTTAAAAGTATTGAAAATTAAAAGATAAAACTACATACATTCCGTTTCGGAATTCACCCATAATTTGAGCACTGCTTGTGAAAGCAATTGTCGGTAAGGTGGCAAAAGGTAACTGCAGACTCATTATAGCGTTTAAAATGTCGTTCATTCCGCTCAAATTGTTCATATCAGCCAAAAATGCTACCAAGAATGTAGGAACTATGGCGATTGTTCGAGTGAACAGGACTCGCTTCCATCGTGCCCATTGCAGATTCAAGAATCCTTCCATCGCGAATTGACCGGCATAAGTACCCGTCATAGTGGACGATTGACCGGCGGCCAAAATACCGACAGCCCATATGTACATTGCAACTGCGCCGAAGGAGCAACCGAGGAAGATTCCGCCTTTGTAAAGATCAGCTTCAAACGTCTCATTGTTTTGCTGTAGTTTAGAGATAAGAATATAAGACCGTGTGGTTAAAAAATTGCCTAAGAAACAGTAATTTATGCGGTGAAAAAAGTTAAAAACGTAAAAATGTAAAAGACATAAAAAAACGCTTACTTGAAAAGTGTCTGTACCGAGGGTATAATTCTTCGCTTCGCAAACTTTATACTGTAAAACAAAACAGAAATTAATTCAACTATTTTCTCACTCGAAATTACAATTAGTTTCAATAAGTGTACTTACAACATCGTTATTCGTTTTGTTATAGAGACCATCAGCAAATACAGCTACGACAAACACATTGATTAGAAACGAAACGAATAGTGCAATGCAGGCTTCAATGAAGTAATACATGTTGGCATCTTTGATTTTTGCAGGCTGTCTTCGATCAATGTCTCTAGACTAAAAAAATTAATAACATTATGTATACATTTATATGCAAAGTGTTTCAGAACTTTTGAGATTAATTCGGGGGATGATAGATCTCTTAAAAAAAAAAAAAGTTAAAAAACCTGTGTCCTCCGATGTATTTTTAAGGAGCTAGACATCCAGTCGCGCGTGACAACTAACAATACACGTCCTTTAATTTTCTTTTTGCAAAAAGACAACCAAAAAAGCAAAAATGCTGCCGCGTGATTAATTGAGTATCTCATAATCGGCATGAACAAGGACACGTTAAAAATGTATCGGGGAAGACATAAATTACAAAAGTTGATCCTTTTAATGAAATCTATCATTCTCTGAAGTTTATCTTAGAAATCCTAAAACACCCTGTACATTGAGAAAACAGTCGCGCATATCGTTTATTATTCTTACTTTAACTAAAGCACTGTGAAGGTACAAATTATGCGGCATAATGACTGCGCCGACAATTCCTACAGCTTGAAGCAATACCTTGTTATCATAATTCATTCCATTGTACCATGGAACAAACATACCTCTTATAACGTCTATTTGAGAAGGCGCGGCAACTATGTACTGCAACATTGAAAGCCGTTGTTGAAATTCACATGAACGATATGGTTGAGATATTTCGAAATACGTTCTACCTCGTAACCAAAGGTAACTGCCATGATCGAGATGAGAAAACCGAAGAAAAACTCCAATTTTCTCAATCCGTATTTGTCCAAGAATAAAAATGTGAATGTGTCAATTACTGTGATAAGAACGCCACCCCATATAGGAATCCTGAAATGCAACTTTCCTTATCACAAATTTTCTGTTTATTTATGTGCATTATTTGATTATAAATTAATTCAAAGTAAAAGAAAAAAAAAGAAATAAAGATAATCAAAGAAAGATAACATAATACATGTAAAGAATAAAATGTCGTTTAATAATACTTACAACCTAAATAAACATAATCTGTAAATGTATATACGCATATCACGCGGATTATAATTTATTCTTTTATAGTATGTAAAGTATTTTTATAACATTTTTTATTCCCCATATATTTTGTATTTAGAATAGTGTTCAGATTTTTAAGTAGAGATTCAGTCTCCACTGAAGAAGTTAATAAGTTAATTAGCGAACTACGATTTTAAATGTTTCAGATATTCCGAAGAATGTTTTGTATATGCGTTAACTTACGTGTATAAATATTTAACAATCGTATCAGACACTTACGCTGTATTAGATAAGAGATAAAGGGCAATAGCCGTTCCTATTACTTCTTGCATATCACTACCAATAATTGCTATTTCAATCATTAACCATAAAATAAGTCTAGGTACTTTTTTGTATTGTCTGAAACACATCTCTGCCAAATGCAAACCGGTTACTACGCCGAGACGCGCACTGAGTCTTTGCATAACGAGACCTAGGATAGTAGCGCTTAGTAGTACCCATAATAACTGAAAGCGAAGACGTTAACAAGGAATATCATTATCAAAAAAAAAAAGATAAGAAAATTAGCATGATAGTAAATAAAACTGATTGCAGCAACATTTGTTTCCATTCCGGCAGGTGTACCTTGTATCTTGCTACCACTCCAGATTGTAGATCCGATTCTATGTTGCCAGGATCCAAATAAGCTATGGACATTAAGAAGCCAGGTCCCGTGAAAGCCCATAGTTTTCTAAAGCTAAACCCCGTCTGCAAACAAAAATTATAGGCCATGAGAGATTAATTTTGAACGCACTAGTACATATTGGTGCGTATTAAAGTTGTACATTAATTTGATTTAATTTGGTAAAAGTAAAGTACAAATACTTTGAATTATAAAATACAATATTTTACCAAACAGTATAAAATGTAAAAATGTGAGACTGTAAATATATAAGACAGGAGTGAGATGATAAGATAGAAAGAGTATAGGACAATAAAAACACCTAATGTATAATTAAAGCCTGATGTACAATTGAAAAGCACAGAAAATAACAGATTTCAATCTATCAAAAACAGTGTATTCGAACATATATTGTTTCTGATAAATTAAAATTAATTTTTTTAAATCCCTATTTCTATATTGTCTCTATTGTTTAAATGTGTCTCGGGCTTAAAAGTACGAATATAATACAGTAAGAATGTGCTAGTCAATCATTTAGAAACTTAAATTGTTATCCATCTTACCCTTACTTATACGATTTTTGGCGAATTCAGTTGGACGCATTAGTGAGAATCTCGTGGTTTATTCCATTTTTATATTTATATTAAACACGCATTTTTATGTCAATTTTTGTACAACTGTTTTAATGTATACTGAATGCGTCCAACGAATTTGCTAAAAATTATGAAGGTAAAAGCAACGACAATATTAAATTTCTAAGTAACTGGGATGATAATACACTATTAAAAATAAAATATTTTTAAATTATAATTTAAAGATGTATAATGGACTTTCTGAGACATGTAAAAATGTTAAAATTAAAAATGTTATTAAATAAAATTATGTTAAAATTAACATAAAAAGAAAACGTTGATCATTTTTACGTCTTCGAAAGTCCATTATACGTCTTTAAGTTAGAATTAACATTTTATTTTTAACAGTGTAAATTTCTAAGTGTTTGACCAACATATTCTTACTGTTTTGTAATTGTCTCCTTCTTATCGTCTTATTTTCTTATCTTGTATATTTATACTTTCTCACCTCTTATTACCTTACACAACACACAGGGTATAAAGATCAACTTACATGTCCTGTTTCTGGCACTTGCACTCTCTCATCGGCGAAGTAGGTTTGATCGTGGCTGGGAGATAGGGAAGTGTTCTCGTTAGGCTTTCCAGCCTCCGACTCATGCATACGCTGATGCGGCACTGTCGTGACATCGTCACTAGATTTCACGTCGTAACTACTGTGCATAGTGTATTAATACAACACTCTAAAAAAAAGGTCACTTATGGAATATGAACTTTCCGTTAGATGCCTGAGAGAACGAAATTAAGCGAAAGTAGACTATGATCCTGATAAAACATGCAGACGTGAAAGAAGAAAAAGGAGAAAATGTTAGATAATCGTGGGCGACGTACGGAATTATTTTAACGGCGAGCTCTCCTTCGTTATAACGAACGAAGAAAGTACACAGGTAAAACTGATAAATCTCTAATGGATCTCGTCGTACTGAATGTCGATGACCTGCCTAGGATAAAACAAAGTATTTCTTCGAAGTATTTCGATTCACTTTGAAAAAATGGAACATGCGAGTTCAACGAGACTGCGAGCAAACCAAAGATCACGTCCGGAGCGATATCATCGATCAAACGCGAACCGTGAAAAATCGCCAGTAGTCAATCACTCACAGCAACTCGCAATCACTCAGTACCCGAGTATCCAGCATACAGCTGTTGACTGCTGCAGTAGAACAGTATAACGAATCGGTCGAACGCTACGAACTTGGCCGCGTAATGTGGCAGGTTGAAAATCTTGGAGCGGGGGACGCTGCCAGGGACGTAGCGAAGTAAAATCTCGGAGTATGCCAAGATCATTGACAAAAAATTTATCTGTCATTTATCGACAAATCTATTTTTTATAATTGAGTTTTTTTAATAACATGCACTCCTTATATTTAAAGAAAAATAAGTACACGTTTGACATCTGCCAAAAGAAAATTTTAATGCAGTTCAATTCAGTGCAGCAATAAAAAAACTTGATAAATTATTAATCATCGATTAAGTTAAATTGGAGTGAAATGAAAAGAGTGATTTTGAAGAGTAACTTCAACAAATTGATTTAAACAACAGCAATCTTATCAAGAAATAGATATAATATCTGGATAAATTAATTTTTGTAAATATAGAGAAAAAGACGAGATCGAATCTCAGGATAGATTCTCTCCTATAAGGAATTATATATAATTACAAATTTCTTATAGCAATACAATTTTATTTCAGTTGAACTAATCGTTGACTACGTTAGTTAGATTTTCGAAATTATTTTAATGACATCGAACGAGTTAGTTATAGATAGAAATTTATATAGAAAATTATATAAAGTCCATAATCGCAATGAACACGATGCTTTCTGATGCTTACATATTTTTCTCGAGTTATTAAAAAAAAAAAAAGAAAGAAGATGGTATTTTTAATTAACAGCACAGTTTTGTTAGATTAAAATTTTATTTATTATAAATAACATACAATACTATAGATATAGTACTATAGATATTATTCTTTTTTATAATAAGCTAGAGTACTGATAGCATTTTTTCAAGTATATATAAAAACGTAAAAAATGAATTCTTCATTAACTTCAATGATAAAAATTTTTACTTCTAATATTTCCGCTTTTAAAAAAAATTTACATGAGGGCTAATCTTTTTATATTGAATTTCATGCACGGTTTATCATTTCTTTTTTTCTCTTCAACGTTAAAAGAAAAAAAGGAAAGATAAATCGTACAAGAATTAATTCAGCTAAAAAAAACAAAAGACCTTATTCTTAAAAAAATTTGAGAATACGGTTACTAATATTTTTAAAATATATTTTAAATATTTATTCAATATGAAAAATGTTAAAAATATTGATTTAATATTAAAAATATTAAATAAATATTAAAAATATAATTTAATACTGTCTACTACAGATTTAACATGTACATTCTTTTAACGGCTCCGATTGCGCTGCGTACTGATTGCGATGCATTTTTTGTCTACGACAAGAGTAGCCCAAGTTCTCCGAACCTTGTCGGCGGGTGATATAAAAGTGGTTATAAAAGACAAATATTTTAAACGTCCAAAAATCTATGTGCCTTGATTCGAAAAGAGACCGTAACACGAGCCTGAGAAATACTTGGGTTTATCGTTACCGACGTCATATCAAATTGTGCGGAATACGCGCGACGTCCTTCATCCTCTTGTGTCCCTCTCTCTCCTCCTTCATCACAAAACGTCTTCCGCATACATAATTTGCACATACTATTATTCTGGAATATCGCAAATTCCACGATATTCGACGCAAATGCAGTCAACGGTTGAATGTAATAATGTGATACATAATACGTAATACCGAACTAATACTTAATAAAACAGTTGCAAAAGAAATTAAATTAATACGGCGATAATATATATAATTTTTAGAATTATGAGATTTACAAAAACAAAATTAATTCAATCTTATGATATATTAATATCGATAACTATAAAGTTAAGAAATACATATGTATGAAGTGTTTCATTATAAACTCATCAATGCTGAATTTTTTTTTTAAAGAAACAAACTTAACAAGTATAATATTAAATTAAACATTTTGAACTGAACTTTGTGAATATATATTGTGATCGCTTACAAAAATGATTTATAATAGAGAACCAAAGAAGAATTTGTGTGTGTGTGTGTGTGTGTGTGTATGTAGATTTGATGTAACCAAAGTTGTATATTTATAACGTAAACGCACATATATTGATTTATTGGTGATCACAATTAATTATTATTTTTTTTATTCACATTATGAGTAGAAAAAACTTGAAATATCTTTTACAAACGCATTTTGCCTAGAATTTTTACTGCAATAGCAGTAAAAGAACTATTTTTATAAGTATTCATAAACAAAAAAATACTGTAATTCAAACATGAAACAAGAAAATAAAATCGAAATATTCTTCTCGAAGAGCGATGTCCTTTTGAAAAATATGTGCATTTTATTCGATAATATGAAGAGATGTTTTGTCTGACAATTGCCACGTAACTCGATATCGACATTTTAGTATTCGACGATTAGATACTGAAGATGAGTAGATACATTTTTCTAATCTATCTCGCTGCTGGGCACCGAAACTAAAATAGTTCATAAAAATGAGATATGTTATCACGTAGAGTAAAAAAATATAATAAAAATAATTTCAATTAGATTATCTATCCCCGTTACATAGAAACATATATAAGGAAATATTATTTAATTAATATAAAAGAATAAATTTTTAAGAAAATATATTACACTATTAGTAGTAGAGTGAATTTTTTGAAGTATGAAGTGACAGAAGCTTTTAATCGCAATAAAATAATTAATTGGTAATAACGCATACATATGCGATTGCTTTATTTATAGTCCATACTTTTTTGTTTTTGTGTAAAAAGAGAAATTAAGTTGTTGTATTTATCAAATCTAACCATCAAGTACAACACGATATGTACGATTATGTACGATACATAAAACAAATAATGCGCGATAATAATACACGACAACTTGTTATTTTTACTTTGTTACTTATTTTCCACGAGAAAATAAAACACGGAATGCAAATGACCGCAATTAAAGCGTAAGCCTAGCTCTTATGTAATAATTGTTGGCTTTTAAATTTAGTACAATATAATGTCAGCGACTGACAAAAAGAAGCAAATATAAAAAGCATGTCGATTTTACATAAATTTTACAAATTAGCTAACAATTAGTTAATTTTCTAGAAGAATGTGCGAAGAAATTTATGAGAAGGATTATGGAATTTATACTAATTTAAGGAAATAATTTTTTTAATGCAATGGTCTCTTGACACTTCGATGAAATTCCGATTAATTTAATCGTCAAATTAATAATCATTATTCTGCTATCTATTATTGATAGTAACTGTTGTCGAGAATTATAACTGTAGTAATATGTTATTGTTATCAAATTTGGATAATAATAATTAAACGGATGAAATGGTTATTCTCATTAATTAACAATTTACAAGAGCAATAATAATATTTAAGATCCTAATCAACTTAATTGATACTTATCTAATCATTCGCAACTTGTTTGCTGCAGACACTGGTTGCAAATAAAACGTCTAACCGGATAATTGATCGATTAAAGGACTATTTATAATTGAGATAATTAAAAATATACTATAAAAGAATATTCAAGTTTCTGCGATGTATATTCAAATTGGAATTTTTACGAATAACACAAATTTAAATTGTAATATATATAATATACATTAAAAATTTAAATATTCTTTTATAATATATTTATAATATTAATTTATAAATATTAGAGGAATTTTTTGAAAAGCATAAATTTTTTGTGTAAAAAAAATCCTACAAAAAACATTCATTGCTTGTAAAGAAAGTTGATCAAAACTGTTACAAAATTCACTGCCAGTGCTGAAAATGTATAGTATACGTAACGTAAACTGTAAATTTTCAGTGCTGACAGTGAATTTTAGAGCACAGCCTGTATTATTAATTAAATTGAATAATTGGTTACTTTAAAAAACAGCTGTATATTTGGTAAAAATAATTAAATTTCGACAGAATTGCATTAATACAAAATTTGACACTTATATGTATTAAAAAATTCTTCTATGTATTAAAAAACAATAAATTAATAATTTTCCTCGTGTTAACAGAACATTTAAAATACAAATGATATCTTAACAAGATAATTGCCAATTACATTAATCAAAATCAAAATCATTCTTAAAGACGTTTATGATAAAAGAATCTTCTTTCACATTTCATTTTAATTTTTATTGATTCTTAGTAATTTGCTGGACAGCATGCGTGATTAGCGTTCGATTTTTGACTTTACGACATTGTAACAATAAGTAATAAGAAATCTCTGAGTGACTATGATTCATCCTGGTAATCCCGGAAACAAGGAAATCTCAAATGAAATACTCGGAATGTATCTGACTGACGGAAAATAATTATTGTATTGTATATTGTGTGTCTTGAAATAGCTTTTCTGACATTTAAACGTAATACTTTTTGTTATATCTTGTTATATGTCTATTTCTCGCTTTTTATTGCCTTTTTTCTTATTTGCAACCGTTTTATCAACAATTTTTTCGTGTTTCGCACGTTTCTTCGAGTGTTTCTTGTCTCTTTTAAAGATTATCAACTTTTATCTCAGGCGATAAAAAAGGAAGATCGAGATATAAAAACCAAAAAGACAAGAGCTATGAAGAACAGGAAACAAAGAGTAACATTATAGAGATTAAACTTCATAAAGTATTTCCAGATATTATATGACTCATCTGTTACAATAACTTAAAATAATTTAAATTGTCATTTGTTTAATTTATCGAGAAAAAAAAAATTAAAACATAAAGACGAAAAAAGTAAATATGCTTTAAATTAAAGTACATATTTTTATTCCTCTATAATTAAACATTACATTAAAATTGCCTTTCAAAATTAATATTACAAAATTTTAATGATTTAAACTCATTTCCTGGAAAACTTTATTTTTTAAGTTGTGTCAAATGATCATATATTCATACAACTGCAAACAAAAGAAATTCCAAGATTCATCCAGGAAGTTGTTCTGAAGTTGTTTTCCTCTATAAGTTTCAAACAGAATAAAGTAAAGAGTTATAAAAGTCAAAAAATCTACACGTGCATGAATAATTTATTTATTACGAAAGTATCATCATAAATATTTGTTCAGTTGAAGGTAGGATCGAAGACAATAAGATTATCGAGCGGATATTAATCATCGTTACGCCTTGACGTTGCAAGGGATCGTAGAGTTAACTCCTGTTAGTTCCTGCTCTTTAAAATCCCGACGACAATGCTCGTGAATGCGTCATCCACCTCACGCACTTCTCTCCTACCCCGCTCGACCAAACTGGTCCAAACTCTCACCGGCGCGGGAGGCAGATACCGCACGTAGTCGATTCTCCGTTGTATTCTCACTGTGTGGTATTCGCGAACGTCCGGCTCATACTCGGGGAGAGTACTTCGCGAAAAAGTTCAGGAAAGTCGTGGGAGTCTGAAAAAACCATCATCGACGGCGCATTCATTCTCGCTCGCGAGACGAGACCTATCAGGCTTGATTTCCAGGTTGTCGAGGGTGTGGTGTGAAGATAACGCGCGACTTCCGTCACGCGCCGATAATGGGGATCCCATGAGTCGTGTTCATGCCCTGATCTAGAGCGAAAGTGACTGGGCCTAAAGCAAAAAAAAAAGGAGAAGATTATTCTTTCGATCTCCGTGGAGGAATTCTCGACGAGTCAAGTACGTATATCCTTCGATAGATCATATGCCTGTTCTCGACAAAGGATAAGCGTAATTGAAGTGACAATGACAGCCCGGCAACGTCTCGTGAGTCACGAGAGTCATGTCTGTTTTTTCCCTTTCAGTCACACCTTTTCTACTCTGGGCTTTCTCTTTCTTTAGACTAGGACAGACCACTGGATCTTTTCTCTCTCTCTCTCTCTCTCTCTGTCTCTGTCTCTTCCCCTCTCTTGAGTGTAGAAAGTGCGAACGTCGTACTCCAAATGCTCGTGCAGGCTGGCAGGGTCGTTGCCATTACGCGACTGCTCCTGTTGTCAAAGTCGAAGCCGTAGTTCGATCGAATTGGAATAGCTCCCTTTTGATTTTTGCAGGCCATCTCATACCAGGGATACTGCAGGCCGTGTTTGAATCTCCTGAGACTGGTGGCTTGATCAGGTAAGATCAAACAAAAGCAGCATGGAGAAACATAAGAAGGTCTGTATCTTGAAACGAGCTATAAAAATTTAAAAAATAAACAAATTTATATATATTTATTATATATCTATTAACAAGTATTAACCATGAAATTATGAATATTCTAGTACATTCACTCACTTTTGCGATTTTCACATCATTCCAAGATACAGAAGCGATTCCCAGGTCTCGAATAAACTTAACCTGCCGTTAGTCGCCGAAGGTTATCTGATAATTTAGGTATTGTTTTATTTGTTATTGAGTTTCTTTGTGCTATATTGTCCAAAGGTAAGATATAGGAAGCACTCATTTCCCTTCAACCGAAAGACACTAAAAGAAAAAGAAGGATGGCGAACCTGGGTAATCTGGAGCAACAGATCTCGAGCCTGCAGATCGGCGATGAGGCAGCCAAGAATGCTGCTAAGCCTGGCAAGAAGGTCGGACCCGCAGTGCCGCCGAAGCCGAAGAAGTCTCAACCTCAGGTGAATCCTAATGTCCCAAACTTAAAATCATATTTGTCTCTATATATCATATATATTAATAAGTGTTTCCTTATTCGCACGCATCCCTAAACATGGATGCAAAAACGGTAATGAAATCCTTATATTCGATCAACGAGGACCATTCTCGAAAATCCTAACTAAGCTGAGCTATCTGTTTTAGATACCGCAAAGTTACACCATAAAGGCCCCGCCTGTGCCATCGTACAGCACGGTCCTTAACAATACGTCCAGCGACAAAACCTCGAACTTATACATGAACGCACCCTCGCCGTACGTCCCGTTGGATATAAAGAATGACTTTTCGCAGATGACATCTGCGAACGGCAAGGAGGCGTCGAAGATTTATCAGAACAATGACAATTTGTACGCTTGTCAGCCAGAGGAGAAGTTCGAGCCGAAGTACAGATACGACGAGAAGAATTATTATTCCAATATAGGGAACATGCCGGCACCTCAGGTACCTGTGGCGGACGATCGCGTGAACAGGGCGACCAGAAACGCAGTATACAGCAACATAGAACCACCGGTAGGCTCCGCGTACGAGTATGTACCATATGAAATGAATAAGGAAATTATATACAGCAACATTCAGTGGAACCCTAAAACGGAGAATACATATTGTAATGTTCCTGCACATGGGGCTGGTAAGAATCTTTCTAATAGCGAATTTGGCCACTTGCATTACACTTGATTAGTGCATCCTAAAAGCGAATATATATATGAAATTAGCAAAAGTTAAATGTGAAAGCTTATATAAATATTTTAAATGTTTAAATGCCCAAAAATGATATTAACAAAATGCTACGTTATTTAAGACAAAATACAATATACATATTTCATTATTTCATTATCGAAATATTATTATTCCATTGCATTTAGATACTTTATGTAAAGCAGCCTTTAATATGCACTAATACAGTGTAGTGCGAGTGACTGAATTCATTAAATCTGAAAAAAGAATGCCAAATGAATTCTGAGTGAATCATACATGGAAAGAACAATTGTACTGAAGTATAAAAATTGAAGTTTAAAAATTTTTAGCTATATACCTGGAAATAATTTTATTGAATCATTAAAATAATTATGCAGGACGCTTAAGCATAATGAGCAATGCTGTAAAAGTTGTAAATTGATAAAAAGTGTCTGAACCTCTTTAAGGAGTTGAAAATAAGATCCGGTTTTGCAGCAATTTTTTGGTAAATCAGTGGAGTATTCTGGTCTTTCTGCTTGCAGACGATTTGCCACCACCGCCGGAGCCGTCAGAGTACGTTTCCTGCGTACCCGGGAATTCATTTCCACCGCCGCCTGACGAGCTGCCTCCGCCACCGAGTCCTGTTTCGTCGAGTTACAGCGAGTTGAGACGTGCTACTTATCAGACCGATTTTCCATCAGGCAACTATCCCGCTGATATCTATGGGCCGAGTTCTCAGTCTAGCTCAACGTACGAATCCATATACGAACCAATTAATCCCAGACCACCGTCGCAATTGTCATGTAACTATTCCATGTACTCCGGTTACGGATCGGCTACATCTACTCAGCCGCAGGGCAAAGTATCTCCCGTTAAAGAAGTGAGTCTTGAAATTCTATACTATATGTAAAATTTATTGAAATGTTTTTAGTTTGTTGAAATGTAAGGTAAAAATAGACTTCACACTTGCATATTTAATTCGATTGTTATATCTAAAGTAATAGTTATATCTTATTGTAAATTGTTTTATTTATTTGTAATAAGAGAGAGGAGAGTGTAATTTAATTTAAAAAATTAGATTAATTTCAACAATTATTAATTACAATTATGAAGTAATTGAACATAACTATAAAGTAATATGCGTATCTGAAATAACTGAATGACTGATTTGATCTACAGGTCGACGTTCTTACGGATCTGTTAGTTCAAGGAATGGAGGATAATAATGAAGACAGTGATATATATGGCATCTGTGCGCAATGCGGACGCAAAGTAGAGGGAGAAGGAACCGGATGCTCGGCGATGGATAAAGTCTTTCACATAAGTTGTTTCTGCTGCTTCATATGCAAGGTCAATTTACAAGGAAAACCTTTCTACTCGTTGGAAGGTAAACCTTATTGTGAAGAGGATTATCTCAATACTCTGGAAAAGTGTTGCGTTTGCACCAGACCGATACTAGACCGAATATTGAGAGCTACTGGCAAACCATATCATCCCTCGTGCTTCACCTGCGTTGTCTGTGGACAAAGTCTCGATGGTATACCGTTCACTGTGGATGCTACGAATCAAATACACTGTATTCAGTGTTTCCACAAGTGAGTTTTTCCCAGTTTTTTTGTTGATTTCTTCAATTATTATTCAATTCTGGTTAACTAATTCACATTCTTGCGTTTGCAGGAAATTCGCTCCGCGTTGTTGCGTCTGTAAGCTGCCTATAATGCCCGAGCCTGGTCAGGATGAAACCATACGAGTGGTAGCACTAGATCGTAGTTTCCACATTCAATGCTATAAGTGTGAAGATTGTGGATTAGTATTGTCATCCGATTCGGAAGGACATGGCTGCTATCCCCTGGACGATCACATCTTGTGTAAAAGTTGCAATGCTACTCGTGTCCAAGCCTTAACGTCTCATATGACGACCGAATTATAAATATATAGACGCGAGACAAGCTTATATAATTTGTTGAAACTTCGGAAATACGAATGAAATGTTAAATCAAGTATCGTTGTGATTAACTGTAGTGAAATAAGTACCGCTATATACACGGTATTATAGGTCCTTTTTTATGCGTACACAATTTTTCTATTCCGCTTCTATTTACACCTCATATATTCAAAACCGATATTTGCTATCCCATTATATTAACGAAGAATCGTTTTTTAACACTTTACCTGTTAGCAGACTAAGGAAAAAAAAATTATACTGTCTATATTTGGATCTTTTTAATAATCTGGCACGAAAAGAAAACAATTGTCAACGATTATTTATATTCTAATAATCTTTAACGATTATAAGATCAATGCATTAGAATTTCGCCACTGCCATGACCGAAGCATTTTCTCCGTACATTACGAAACAAATGTTGGCAAATTAATAGTAGATATAAGTTTGATGTCCGAGGCAATTTTCCTGCAGATGTGATTATCATTGTGATTCTAGTAAAGTATTCGATGTATCGTAAAGTATTTAACGTGTAGTTTATCGTCGACAGGAATACCGCTTCGATCCATTTATTTAGAGGTTAGATATTAGATTCGGAAAGTAGGGTTATTATTGACAATATTGGTGAAATACCGGCGAGAAAGCGTGCCATTTCTTCTTGTGAACGTATCTTAAATAGATCCTTGCAAGACTATCGCAAGACTAGAGAAAGGAAAGATAAACGCTCAATCTCAAACTTATGATGCGATTAGTTTCCGAACTTTTTCGAATGGGTAAGACATTACATCGAGGAGAGACTTGTATGATCTCTGTATTATAGTATCAATAAAAATACAGTTTGTTATTTATGGCCAAAGAGTAACACTTCGTTTTTGCCGACCATTCTTGCCCATCCGATGATTTTCACTACGCATGTAGACACTGCACTTTTAGCCTGCATTTACCGAATGATATCGATTATGATCGAGCTTTGCATGTTTCACTATTTTAATGAAAGTTGCTATTAATATATATCGTTATATTACTATTGTGATTGTATTAATAGTTATACACGGTGGCTCAAGCTACCGCACTTCCTTCCAGTTACAGATTTTCTCAAGAATTCGAAGTTTTTTTCTTAGCAAAAAATTCAATTGCGAGCACGCAATTTTTTTTACAATTTGTAATATTTAACATTACCTACATTGTTATTTTGTTAGAGCTGCTTGAAATTAAATAAAGGATAAGAGTTTTTTTAAGAGATAAAGTTAGACCCTTATTTATTTGAAAATTAAAATAAAATTATTTCGAAAACTATTAGAATATTTTTGCTATTAAAAAGCCAATTTCAAATTTACGAGAAAAACTGTAGCCAAGACGAAGTCCGCGATTATACAACCTGTAGACACATGGTGTGTGTACACATTAATATTGTTATTATAATTGCAGAAGAAATTTACAGCAGATTCATTCTATATCATCTCTTTACTAATTTTTTTTCTCTATGATTTTCATGCACAGATGTTTGTCTTTTATTATTATTAACATCTCTTTTTAGATATTTGCATCTCTTTTTTTTATATGCGTAACATATTTTTTATTACCATAGAGTACTTAAATCTTATATAATTTTTGTGATATATATATATATATATAATATATATAACCTGTATGCCATTTTGTATAATTTATGTTTATTAATACATAAATTTGTCTCACCGGCACACGTGAATCGTGGAACGCGTCCTTCTATGTTTCTTCTTGGAAATCAACAATACTACCGATTCTATACTTATCTACACGGAGGTATATCAAATTATAATTCCACGATGGATACATTGTGCATCAATGTATTTGGCGACAGTGCGAATCTAGAAATAATTCAGCTCATCTACAAATAATTTGGGTAAGCCGCAAAGCATTTGAAATTGTCGTCCACGGTAAACAAATATAACAAATACTTATTATCATCCGATGTATCCAATGTGCAAATAATCTTGTCGTCGACTCGCGGGAAATGTCTCACGTTAATAATACCTTGCACTAAGTCGCGGTACTTATTGCGGAGCAATGTGGCTCCGCTGCGAGATAATAAATTAACACAGATTGTCACGAAATTCGCACGCTTATCAAATTTTGTCCGGCAATTTTCGCAAATGCGCGGCCGGAAACCAGGACGAAATTCCACGATCCGAAATGCACTCTTTGCTGCGTATGATACATTCGTAAATCCTATACTCTTTACAACACATAGCTCTGGTGTCTATCTTAGACTCCTCTGTTTTTCTTTTTATCCTCTTTAGATTAAAACTAATATATTTTATGTAATATATATTTTATCATATTTTCTTCAATCAAGTACAGCACCATTCTACGTTAAATTTAGTACAGGTTCTTAATACTCGGTTTTAATCTAACAATATTCGTTCGATTTGTTAGCTTTGTTGTACCAAAGTCAACATAGAATTGCACTTTTTTTTAATAATCTATCGCTCTCTCTCTCTCTCTCTCTCTCTCTCTCTCTCTCTCTTAAATAGATACACGTAATTTACATACGCATATACATATGTGTATATATATATAT